GTTCTTCCAGCTCTACACCTTGTTATCACCAGCTTCTTCTCTCTTCTTCAGGTAAAATTGACTTGCAAAGAGCAGCTTCCATTTTATACATGACAAAGCTCTGCTCGGTATTGCTTAGAAACTCAAAGCTACTCACCGTCATGGTAGCAGATGTGCATTCTCTACTACTGCTTGAGGCAGTGGAATTCCAGGTGTACCTTTGAGGAGGATCACAAATTGGCATCTGGTAACAATGCGTTAGCAAACCAGGTAATAATGGAGCAGCTGTGTATCCATTGGAACCACAAGGATGATAATTTAATGAGAGCTCAGGGATTCTTGACTACCTTGAAGCTGTTGCCAATTTGTTCTGAGAATTGTACTGATCTCAACTGGTCAAAGTTAGGGATATTGATTTTGGAAATTTAATGTTTTTGCACAGTTACTCTAGTTATAAGTGACACTGACACAGTGTATTTAACTGCAGCATGGGAGGGACAGATTTTATCTATTTTGGAGCCAGTTCACTCAGGAGGCTCTAACACTACTAAGATACAAACTGTCCAATCATGTAGACAAGTAAAAGTAAATTATTGTCTAGTTTATTATTGATATTGTGAGTATCCTGCAGTACCCACCAATCTCACCTGGCCCCATAGATACTTGTGGACCCCTTGTGATTCCTCCCTAGGACTGCCAGGAGAGATAGAAGCACTCAATGATTTTCCTTTCAAATTCATAGCAGCTTCTTGTGCACTGAGCTCTGATCTTGTTTTCTGCAGGTCTGAGTGCCTGTTTGACAGTTTAAAACCAATCATTGTAAATTTTATACTGTAGCCTTATAGCCATTGAAACTGGGCTCAGCATGGTACAAATTAGCCACCGTTGCAAAAACAAGCGTTTGTTGGTGGTTGAGTTTGTTGATTGAGTTAGGTAGATTAGCGATTGTATGTTAACTGCCTAGGATATCCCTGACTTTTATTGAAGGAGTTTACATGCACTGAATACATGATTTTTTGGGAATTGTCAATCTTGGCTCCTGTGTCATAATGATGTGGTATAATCCCATCTGATGTCAATACCAGGCAAGTCAGATCCCAGAGTGAAATCTGGTTTCATGGAGCATATTTTTTCTTTTGTTTGCTGTGAAGGTCAGTCAGTGCACATATTCACATGAAGCTGACAATGTACTTTTAACAAAAACAGAAAATAAAGTTCAACAAAAAAGAATGGATTATGTTCCACTGAACAAGAAAAAATGTAAATTATTACATTAAGAAAAAAAAAACTAGAAAAAGGGAACGATTTCATGGTAAACATCAGGAAGAAAGATGATAATCCCTTTTATCGCAGCAGCCCCCTTACAGATACTCAAACCTTGGTGAATAGTCACCCCTTTCTCAGTGCACAGTCTTTGTGCTTAGCATGGCGCAGTGGTAATTGTTTTCTGTTTGGCAAATTTCTAACGTTCATTGGATGCCATTCTCTTCAGTTATGTCACTTTCTGAGATTCTGAAAACAAATCACTAATTCAGCTCATTACATTTAATATCAACTAACAGTACTGCGGATGCTGTAAATCAAAAGTAAAAACAGAAGTTGTTGGAAAATCTCAGGTCTGGCAGCATCTGTGGAGAGAAAACAAAGTTAATGTTTTGTGTCGAATGGCCCTTCCTCAGAACTTCGTCAGCTGAAACTTTAACTCTGATTTCTCTCCACGGATGCTGCCAGACCTGCTGGGCTTTTCCAGCAATTTCTGTTTCTGTTACTATTTAATATCTGTTCCTTAAACTTCAGCATCCTTGGAGGTTGCCTTACCCTCTGGCACCTCCTTAGCTGCCTCTTTCTGGAGTTTTCTTCTCACCTTTAAGTACCTCAGGGCTTCTCTCCAGCCATTACTGCTTAAACAATGCTAGTATCACCTGTGTTGTCATAGGTCTCTTCCCACTGCATCCTTCTTTCTATCCCTCCACCCTACCTCTGTTGGTCATAGAACTCAAGTCAGCAAACAGCTTAGCAATTATCTTGTAGGAGCAAATGCTGGAATCTGTGCTGACGACAAAAATGCTGGAGATCACAGCAGGTCAGGCAGCATCCATGGAGAGAAAGCAACTTAACGTTTTGAGTAGAGAAGAACTAGACTGACTTGACCTCCTGTGATCGCTAGTATTTTTTATTTTCAGTAGCAATTATCTTCCCAGATGATTGCTGTTCAGAGCAGCTGAACTGACACGATGACTTAAATGCTGTTTTGACCTCTGGTGTCAAAGGGACTTTTTGACTTCTTTAATAGCCAGATTTCTCTCCACTTTCGAAAGCGAATTCTCAAATAATGTGAACATTTGTAACAGTTGAAGGAGCAAGAAATTAGCATTGCCGTTTCACTTTCTAGTCAATTGCCTCATGGACTAATTAAGATCCATGTTTATGTTTAAATTGCTGTTAGCTTCACAGAAATGGGACAGGTGAAATGTTTACAGCTGGAATAAGTTCTAACATAGGGATAACATGCATTTGCTAGAATTAGTGTTGTAATTATTATCTGTGGAATAATTGCCTTTTGGATGCTTAAAAAAAGTTTTCCTTCTCTTACTAGCATTCTTTTACTTTGCATCATTATTGTCTTAACTTACTTAGTTATTTTAAATCCATTCATGATGTTGCCTCCTGCCACTCCATTCTCCATAATCATCTTCACTTTCACAATACCTGCACTTCTGTCATTCTGGCCACTTGAGCATTCTCAGTTCTAATTGCTTCTCCATGTCTTGACTGTGCCTTAGTTGCTTAAACCCCAAGTTCTGGAATTCTGCCCCTACAGTTCGTCTCTTCACTTTCCTCCTTCAAGGCACTCCTTAAAACCTACCTCTTGTGCAAACTTTTGGTCATTTGATCTGTTCACTCCATGTGGTTGGGTGTCAAACTATATACATTTCAGTTAAATGTGCTATATAAGGGTAAGCAGTTGTTTAATTTTGCTAAGTAATTCTGATACCAGCTTAACACATGTTTGAGGCAGTCAGTAAATCATCTTAGGCAGTCCCTCTGAATGGAAGATGATTTACTTCCGCTCTTGCTAGATGGATTCTTAGATAGCTAAAGACTCCAGTGCACCATCTGCAGATTCTGCCACATGAAGGGCAGGTGGTGCTTGAAGTGTTGGGTGGATGGCTTGTTTGCTTCCTCAGACACCTCTGAGTTCCCAGCAAAGTTTCTTGACGTGTTCAGTGCCTTCCTGAATGAAGTGACTGTGGTTTGGTCAGTCATAAGCCAATGACTTCCCTGAGATGAAGCGGATGTTTGATCTGTTCGGGATGTTGATGTTTTGCTGTTGTTTTGGGAGTCCAGTGTCAGGCATATGATGTATAACATGTCCTGTGTGAGTAACTCTTGATGCTGGGCATGTTGGTTTGGGAGAGGACTCTGCTGTTGAGCTATTTTTCTTGCCACTGGATTTGGTGAATTCTGTGCCACTGCTGATAATTTTCCAGTGCTTTGAGGTGCCTGCTGTAAGTTGTCCAATCTCTGACACCAGAGCATGGGGATCGCTGGTATCTGATAAACCTTGATCTTAATCTTGAATTTGAGAACCTGGTCTTCAGTCTCTTCCTCAGTCAGCTGAAGCTGAGTTGGGACATTGGAGATGATGATGAATTTCATTACCTACATCTACCATTATTAAGACAAGGTTTTGATGATATGGAAAATGATTCTCAATTGATACCGGGGATGCTGTGCTGTGGCAGCCGGTTAGAAGAGGATCTCTGATGCTGCTTGGCCTGCTGTGTTCATCCAGCTCTATACCTTGTTATCTCAGAAGAGGATCTTAGTTTTGTTTTGGGTGTTTGACCCTAGACTTCACTGAGTTAGGATCTATGGTGGTTTGCTGATGAGAATCACTGTTTGCATGTCATTGTGGATAAGTGGGGGATGGTAACACGTTTCTGAGGAGAATACCCTGTAACCTTTGTAGTTGATAGAGCCATGAAGTAGAAGTCTGTAATGTTGGTACTGTTACTTAGATTTTAAAAATAATTTGCCTAAATAACTATTAGCTCTTAAGCTCAGTTTCACATTAGTAATTTACAAAATGGTAGTTTATTCATGTTATATCATTAAAGTGGCCAGGCCAGATAATTTGGTAGTATCAGGCTAGCAGCCAGGTTGACTCCATCCTCCGGTTAAGGAACAATAGCTTAGCAAAGAGAACTGAGCATTGCAAATAATTGCGCAGTGAAACGTGATTGTAGAATTGTTTTGGAAACTGAAATATGTGGATTGTATCAGAACTTCTGGTTCTGAAGAGACTGCTGACTCATTGACCATGTCATCCCAGTACTATGGTATTCAGTGTTACTGCTCGCTTATCTGTCAGGTTGCTCAGGCTGATACTGCATACTTAACTAGGCTTCAGTCCAATGTGTTGAATGAACTTTTCCGGGATGCTTCACTAAAGTCAGAATATTTACAACACAAAAGGAAGCTATTTAGCCTGTCATGTTTATCAGTGCACAGAGAGAAACTCAAATTAGTTCCAAATCCTGCCTTTTTTCTATAGCTCTAATGATCCAGGTCCCTTCTGAATGCCCTTGATTGAATCTTCCTCCACCACTCAGTCAGTCAGTGCAGTCCTGAACTGTGTGAAGTATTTTTCATAAAATCCCTACAGTGTGGAAACGGGCCATTTGGTCCAACAAGTCCACACTAACTCTCTGAAGAGCATCCCACTCAGATCACTCTCCTACCCTAACCCTGTAACCCTGCATTTCCCACCTATCCTGCACATCTTTGGACTGTAGGAGGAAAACGGAGCATCTGGCGGAAACCCACACAGACAGGGAGAGAATGTGTAAACTCTACACAGACAGTCACCCGAAGTTGGAATTGAACTTGGGTCCTGGGTGCTGTGAGGCAGCATTGTTGACTACTGACCTACTGTGCCTCTCCTTTTGCCTCTGTTGCCTTGTCCAGTTGCTTTAAATCAGTGGCCCCAGCTCTTGACTTGTCTGCCAATAGGAACAGTTTCTTTCCACTTGTGCTGTAAATGATTATCAAGACTTCTATCACTTTGAGGTGTTCACAAGTTGATATTTGATCTGCAGTAAGAATTACGTACAGCTGAGAATGAGTAGCTGAGGACATGGTTGAAAGAAAAGATTTTGAGAAACTTCTGAAACTTGTGTTTAGGAGGAGAATTGGAGAAAGTAGAACATTGGCAGCTGGAGTGTTTGTCAGTGATGGTGGGATTCTGGTGAGGGATAGTCTTAGACAACAAAGCACATACTTACCTCGGTATCACGGGGTAACTTTAAGGACGAATTTGAGCAAAAGTGATGAGTATCAAATAAAAGCACAGGTGAGGATAAGTGCAGAATTGGAGCGTTCATCCACTTTGGCTGCAGGCTTGGATATGAAGGGCAGAATTCTGGATCAGGAGGATAGAGCCTGAAAGGAGATTGTAGGGAAAATCTAGTTTAGACATAACCAAGGTGATGATGAGCACTTTGGCAAGGATAAAATGGCTTTGGAGCATATTATGGAGATGGAAATAAGTGATCTTGGTGATCAACTTGTTGTAAAGTTTGTAGCTGAACATACAATTGCGTAGAACATTAAGGATGCTGGCCATGGGTTTGAGCCTGCATAGGTAGCTGAGCGACCAAGCCACATGCCTTTTGTTTCACCACAAAGTAATTCTGTTCCAGTGCAACAAATCAGACTGGTGCTCAGATAAGACAGCAACTGTTCTGGAGACAAGGGTGATGGTTAGGCAAGGTGGGTGTTGTCAGCTTGCATGTGGAAGCTAATCCCCCAGGCTTATTGTTGTTGGAATGGGGCCTGGGATGGTGTTGGTGGCCTGTGCAGGGCCAGACGATGCTGATCCTAAAGTTGTAGTAGGGAATCCATTGTGAAGTGTCTTGATAGTTTTGGGGCTGGCCAGCAGTGGAATGTGAAGGATTGAAGAGAGCAGTTTCCACAACTGGAGTAGGTGAAGAGGACAATTGTCATTGCAGTAGTCACAGATAGTATCTTTTTAATCTGAGTAATTTTGGTGCTGTGGGCTGGATGTAGCCAGATGGAGAGAGAGTTGGACTGAGTTATTGGGGATGTGGAGTTGAACAGCAATCAAGACAAGGCAATAAGTTGGGCATAAAGAGGAACAAATGGGGTGTTTTTGATGTGGACATGATTATGAGAGCAGTATTGCTTAAGGTAGTGTGTCAAATGCTTGTGACATTGTTGCAAAATCTAGAGTATATAGTTTGGAAATGATTGGAACTGTGGTTGAATCGGAGTTCAGTGTTCTTTCTCAAATGAGGAAATGCGTCATGCAGATAGTGGGAAAAGTTCTGGATGAACAGATGCATCTGGGAAAATCAATTAATGAAATGGTGCAGAACCTTACCTCAAGTTATTTATTTTTGCCTCTTAGAGCTGAATCATAGTGTTGCCACCAGTTGTAGGAAGCTGTATTGTAGCTGAATATATCAGATTGTCACAGCTCTATCCTAGCACCACATCATGTAACTGTCACTCCTTATTTGTGAAATGGGTTTGTGTACTATGTCAGAATTTTGCTAATGGAATATTTATTTTCTGATCAAAGTCTATGATATTTCACACAACCTTCACAGAGTGAAGCTGTTGCTGATTACCTCTGTCTAGTGTTTATAATAACCATGTTTATCAGGTGGTTGTTATTCAGGATTATGTGTGTTCTGGTACGTGGAGTTCAGGTGAGGTACATGCAGGATTTTTATTCTAAGAGCATCAGTCAGCTGTTCAGCCCCTCAAGCCTGCTCCACCGTTCAATGTCATGGTTGATCTGGTTGTAGTCTTACCTTCCCTTTCCTACCTGCCCCTTGTCAATCAAAAATCTATTTTTTTGTTGCATGTGGTTCACAACATACGTTGCTGCCTAACAGTCCTCTTCACCGTCACCTGCAGACATCCGGTTCAAATATGGCTTTCTCTGCACAAGTGATCATGACAAACCCCTGAAGCTTTTTGACTATCGTATACTTCCAGGATGTGCCTGTCACATCAGGTAGTCCACACAGAAATCTAGTAAGTGAAAATGCTGTATTTCCTCACGGAACCGTCTTCATGACTTTGCCAATGGAAATCGCATCATTTTTCGCACGGTGGTCATTTGCATCTGGGACCAGTAAGGAGTTACGGCAGTTTTCTTGGAAAGGTGTCAATGATTCATTTTCCTTTTTAACACAATCTGTTGGTCTTCCATGTGGCTTTCTGGTGCCAGCAATATGTTATATTTACCGAATTTATTTCATAACTTGCTGTGCTGGGAATGTAGTTTCACAATTTCAATTATTGTAACCATTACAAGACCATATCCATGCTATATTTGAGGTTGTGGTGCAGTGCTGAGTGTTGCTGTGGTGCTTTCTGACTGTGCTACAGGACGTTTTCACTTAGAGATGTGGTGTGCCCCTCAAAGTCACAACTTCAAGTAAAGCTAGAATTCGACTCTGTAGGACCTTCCTTATAAAAAACACCTTTTATACCTTGTAAATTGAAATATTTTACATTGCTAAATTCCTACAAGAGTAAATCCGATAACTTTGAAAATAAAATAGATTTTTAATATAAAAAAGATGGAATTTCCTACTTGCAGGACCTCCTACTCATCATTTATCTCGTTCGCCACTTCTTGATCCTTCTCCTTGATCTTCCAACTCGGGTCTTCTTCCTTTCCCTAACTCAGATATGTCACTCCCTGTGGTGAAATCTCTGACAGTAGCACTGAGGTACTGCTGCCTGCAGTCTATAGCAGGGGCCCTATATTCAGCAGGCTCCACACTACCTGTTTGAGCTGTTGCCTGTTTCTGAAAATGTCTTAACTGGCACTTAAAGCATCTTTTTGAGAGGCTGTATGTCCCTTCTTGCTGGCCACCCCCACCTCCAGGATCTGCAACAGCTTCAGGGCCTGGGCCTTTGTTTTCCTCCTGGCCAGTAGAATGTCAGGAAGAAAAAGATCAGTATCTTTTCTCTCAAGAAAACTTGTGTCGAAATCCTCTCTGCCCAAAGCCCAGTGCACACTAAAATTAATTTCTATAACAACCTGTTCTAAGGTATTGTGACACACCTGTGGAACAGGACTCAAACCTATGGGCACTGCCGCTGCACCATGAGTGAATCTTTAGTCTGTCACCTCACTACAATATCAAAGTCAATTATATTCCTCTGGAGTGATTTTCTTCATCTGTCGAATGATGTACCCCACACTATGCTTAGAGCTGAGGGCCCTTTGCCTTCAATCCTTCAGTCTGATTTAACTTTAGCAGCTCTCCCGTGTTATTGCACTGACTGTGAGTTTCGTGGTTCTGGGTACTACTTGAGAGAGTGGAAGCGGAGGAATAACTGCCAAGCTCGGTCACAACTAACATGCTGCCTGCCAAGAGGAGAGGCAGCAACTCCCAAGCACTCACCTGCCAAGAGGAGCAGCTCCACTGTGTCTGAGAGGATGCTAAGGGTGGTGCTGGCCAGCAAGACGGTGGTGTCAGGCAACAGTTACAACGTAGTCAGGAGCAAGTAGCTTCTCAAACAGCTAGTCTGGAGCCTGGTGAACAAGAAGCCCCTGATGCAGACTGCGGGCAATGGGGGACTCGGCTCCATTCTTGAGGGCCAGGCATGGGGAGAGAGTCACAAGGTCGAGCTCAGAGACAGGCTGCTTGGAGAATGGTTTCA